GCCTTTGACCCGGAACTGAACCTGGGACCCTTCAGTCCACAGGACGATGCTCTATCCACTGAGCCGGTTAGGGCTCAAATATCTTTTCTATAGGAAAATGTATCCCAAGTTTCAACCAAGGAAACCAGAAACACTTTTCCTTCTTTTGTTGTTTTTTGTTTGTTTTAGCTTTTTAAGCCACAAGGGGACACAGGGTATAGTATTGGGGCTCTAATAAGGAAACTCTCATATGGGTGTGGAAGAAGACAAAGGGGACCTAGTTTCCTGCAGGGTATCTGTAAGTGAGTAACTCTGTCTCACATGTGTCACTTCTCCAGGCCAATCTCTATTGAGTTCAGATTTGGAGAAGACAGAAAACAGACTCTCCACCAGGAGCAGAAATGAGATCAGGACTTACATTTCTGCATCTTTAGAGTTGAAAAGTAGGATGCAAGTGACAAGCGAGGCTGTCACTTGTCGCTTGTTCTATCCTAAGTCCTTGCTGTGTTCCCTTTCTCCAGCTTTAATAAACATACTCTCAAAATCACCTGGACTCTTATTGCAAAGTCTTTCCTGCATGAAGTCGGGAACCCACACACTATAGGCTGTCTTAGGTAGAACCGCTCAGGGCCAGGGCCTTTTGTGGCGACACTTAAAGAGGTGCACCCAAAGGGATACTGGGTTCAGAAGAGGTAGAGTGACTTGCATTAGCCTCATCATCCTCAGTCTGAGGCTGAATATCCACAAATGAGGGTGACCTGTTTTATTTATACCCTGTCTCCTAGATATGAAAGAAAGATAGAACATAGAGATTTCACTGACTGAAGGAGGAATTCAAGTTCATAAATAAGAAAATTTCAGACTATAACCATTGATAAAGACTGAATGAAGTTATAAAATTTCCCCCTCAGGCATTTTAACTGCTATTCAGGATTTATTTGTACATAGACATACTCTCTATTCTTTTTCTCGACAATCCAACAATCCTATATCTGTCATTCCCCTACAAGACCATATTTTTTAATAGAGAGGGAGAGAGAGAGAGTAACACTGATCAGTGCCTCCAGTATGTGACCAGACCAGGGACCGAACCCACAACCTGGGTATGTCTCCTGACAGGGAATCAAACCCACAACCTTTTGGAGTATAGGACGATGCTCCAGCCAACTGAGTCAACCAGCCAGGTCAAGACAATGTATTTTTGAAAACTCTCATTTCTTATGCCATGTGAACCTTAAGATAAACCATTTGAAGTGCCTACTGATTAACGTAAGCACAAGGGCCTTTCTGCATAGGACAAGGCTTGCTAACGAGTTAGTCCGACAACAGTCAACTGAAGGTCATCACCACCAATTCACTGTCAAAGGAGACCCCAAGTTGGAGTGGGGTCAGGGGGAAGATTTTATTCAATGAAAACAGCTCAATTGTGAAGCAACTCTATTGTGAGACAGCTCAGACATGAAACAGCAGTCGAAGTGGCTCTGCCATTACACCACCAGCTCCAGTGTTACAGCTTTGGCTGGTGAAATAGTCTTCAATGGTAACAAAGTGTGCTCTGTTGAGGTAGAGGCGAAGCTGGCTTATATAGAGAAGACTGCCACACCCTGGTCCCTGATTGGACCATTTCTATGCAAGTAACTCTAAATCCACAGTTTGACTGATCCAAACAGCATTTTCTTGATTGGTTGGAATGGAGCCACTCTGATTGGTTGGTAAAGATGGAAATGAAGATTTAGTTGCAAAGCCCCAGTTGGTTAGGGCAGGACTTCAGCTCATTGGTTGAGCCAAGGAGCTTATTTAAAAGGTCCAGGAACATGGTGCAGGAGGCAGGCAGCTCAGTGTAGCTTTTTCCATAAGTGCAGAGAGCATACGAAGCCTCTGTTTAGCAGTGACTATACTAGTAGTCTTTGTTTACAAATTACTAGTAGTCTTTGTTTACAAATTAAACATCAGGAGTCATTTTTAACAGGCACATTCATTCTCAGGGTCAACGTAACAAAGAGCATGTGCACACTGAGCTCACCTAACACATGTTATAATGTGAATAAATCTGCCTCATGAATTATTCATTACTTATTTCCATTTAAAGTGCATTTGCAAAAGTGTTCCTGTCAGAAGAATTACTATCAAAACTTAGATTGTCATTCCATGTCAAGGACATCTCAGAATAGAAAAATGAATGTCTATTCCTCAGGACTGCTTCCTCCCCACACAAACTGCCTGGGACACAATCCATTTAGGAAGATTCTCGGATGTCCAGAAAACATACATCCTCAGTCAGCATCCCATTGTTTAAGGGTTCAATTAGCTCTTTAAGTGTCACCACAAAAGGCCCTGGCCCTGAGCGGTTCTGCCTAAGACAGCCTATAGTGTGTGGGTTCCCGACTTCATGCAGGAAAGACTTTGCAATAGGAGACCAGGTAATTTTGAGAGTATGTTTATTAAAGCTGGAGAAAGGGAACACAGCAAGGACTTAGGATAGAACAAGCGACAAGTGACAGCCTAGATGGGGCTGCTTTGGCTCCCTAGAAATGTTATAGAAAAGAAGTGAGCCAAGACGGGGCTGCAGTCAGCTGAGAATAGTCACAGTGACAGGAGTGAGCCAAGGCTGGGCTGACGTTAGCTCACTAAAGTCAGAGAAAAGAGGGCCTTGGACACAGGTTTGGGGGAATGTCTGGGTCGAGCTGATGCTGCCTGCTGCTCCCCTGGGTTGCAAGTCTGGTGGGGACTCTTAGAGTTTAGGTGAATGTTCATACTTGAGAAAGAAACGGCAGGGGCCAGGCTAATGTGTGGCTTGGTGGATTAAGTGTCATCCATGTACCAAGAGGTCACTGGTTCAATTCCTGATCAGGGCACATGCCCAGGTTGTGGGCTTGATCCCCAGTAGGGGGAGTGCAGGAGGCATCCAATCAATGTTTTTCTCTTTCCCCCTCTCCCTTCCTTTCTATCAATAAAAACGGAAGTAGGCAAATTGGCTGGACCATGGTACCCAGATATTTGGTTAAACTTTATTCTGGATGTTTCTGTGAAGGTGACTTTTGGATGAGATTAACATTTAAGTCAGTGAGCTCTGAGTAAAGCAGAGGCCCTTCACAACATGGATGAACTTCATCCAATCTGTTGAAAACCTTGACAGAACAAAGGCTGACCTCCCTTAAGCGAGAAGGAATACTGCCAACAGACAGCCTATAGACTCAAACTGCAACGGGAATAAGCAGGTTGGAAAATAATTATCTTACTTGTTTTTACTAATCTTTCCTAAATGTATGTGTAATTCACATTTATTTCAATGTTTAATAATAGTAATGTTTTGATTTTATTTAGAATTTTGGTTCCCAGTCAGTGAGGCTCGGTGGTTGACAGTCAACCTATGAACCATGAAGTCACAATTCAATTCCTGTTCAGGGCACATGCCCCAATTGCAGGCTCAATCCCCAGTGTGGGGCATGCAGGAGACAGCCAATCAATGATTCTGATCATTGTTGTTTCTATCTTTCTCTCCCTCTCTCTTCCTCTCTGAAATCAATAAAAATATTTATTTTTTTAAAAGAAGTTTGGCAATGTTTTTGTGACCAGAAATATGCCATAGGAACTTAACTCTTGCATTCTCAGTTGGTCTATGGTAAAACTGGTTTCATTATACACTTTTTCACATAAAGGCACCGTTTCTAAGAACTTATCGACAACTTACTGTAATGAGGACTTACTGTAAATTTTATGCTGAGTTCTTACGTGAGCCTCTCTAACAAAATAACCAAATCTGAGGTGGAGGTTTTGGAAACCTCCCACTTACAGCCAGTCGGTCAGAAGCACAGGTAATAAACTGGACTTGCAACTGGCGTCTGAAGTGGGGGCAGTTTTGTCGGACTGAACCCTTAACCTGTGGGGTACAATGCTATCTCCAGATAGTGTCAGAATTGAATTAAATTGCAGCACAGCTAGTCGGTATCTACTGAGAACAGGAGAACTGCTTGGTGGTATTGGGAAAAACACACTTCAGAAGCACTATAATCTCAAGAAGCAATGACCTGACAGAACAAATTTCTTCGCATAAAAGAATCCCTTTATCTTAAAAACAATAATTACTGGGGTTTACAAATATGATGTTAGCACCACAGAGTGCCCACATCAAAATACTCTTGGTTGGAATTTTTATTGTTGCATATGAAAGGAAAAGAGAATATAAGAGACAAGGACTTACAAGTGGTAGGTGGAGACAGAAGCACAGAGATTTACAGGAGAGTCTAACAAATTTTAGTTCATCATATAAAGCCATCACTTTATAAATCCACCATATCTACGTTCAGTAGTGGGTCTCAAAGTGTGGTCCCCAGTTCAACCACAACATCACCTGTCAGAAATGTGCATTCCTGGTCCCCACCTCAGACTTACTGAATCATTCTCTGGGGAAGGAGACCAGGAATCTGTTTTAACAAGCACCCCAGATGATTCTGATGCACACTAAAGCTGAGAACCAGTAATCTCCAGTAAAGTCAAATACCTTTAAGATAAGGCACAACTAAATCAGGAAATTCTAGAAACTGAGTAGCAGAATTTTACTATATCACTATGGGTCCTGTGGAGGAAACGTTTATCTCTCCTTTTTTATAAGACATTTAATAAAAAATGCTTTTCCAATACCATCTAACTGACATTACTTAAGAATTTTTTCATGATCTAAAATTTTCAGTTCATTCATAGGTTGCTTTGTGCTCAACAAAACAAAACAAAGCAAAAGTTTTGAGAGAGGACGATGATACATTCCCAGGCAAAACGTACAGGCTGAGGCACCATATTATAAATTGCTAAGCTTAAAATTAAGTTTTTTAGTTCTTCCATCACATGGGACATAAAACTCATCAGTAAAAACTAAAAAGGGCCAATGCATATAATATTTCTACAAAATTTGCACTTATCATATGAAAATTTGCCAAAGGGGACAAAATCGCGCCAAAGAGGCAATTCCTCTGCCAATTTAATTCAGGCCATTAGCATTTCTTCCTATAAGAAAAAATAAATACCTTTAAACTGCTTGATCATGTTCTGATGGTTTTCAATGGCTTCCTTTAAGATCACTTCAGGCTGGTCCATCTTCCACCGCCATTCAGTGCCCACTGGGTTGGTGTGGTGCCTAGGAAAAAGAGGCAAAAGTTCTAAAGTACTCTCTGTAATAAGATCTCAGCTACTCATCTACTATGATGAAGTAGTTAATAAAATTAGGGCTGATTTCCCCCTAAATACTTGGCTATTTATAGCTGTATTTTCTTATTTAATTAGAAATGAGTTTAAGTCATGACCCCTAGCAGAGAGAGGTAGCTAGAGAAGTGCCTGGCTGAGACTGAGGTTTAATCATAACAATATCAAATGTGCACCCCTCTCTACAAGCCACCAACTACCAGGCTAACAAGCATTTAATAACAGTAGAATATTGCCAGAATAATTGCAAGATCATAGTGATAGACCCTTCCTGAGAGACAGCACAATGGGAAGACCTAAAACTTAGGAAGGATCAGATATTGAGAAAAAAGCCTCTGGCAGACAGACCAACCTCCATGCTATACACACGGTAATCCTAAAGGAATTTTAAGGCAGTGATACACTGATGGTATTCACAAAACATCAAAACTTAATTCATGCCCAAATCTTGACTAAATTAACTCAAACTCTAACAAGAGAGGCGTAGCAGAAAGAAAATGCGTGCTGACTTTAAACTACAGAAAACCTTTACCTCAGTCTCTATTGCACTAAACAAAATGTCCTACTTGAAACAAAAACTTATAAAATATACAAAAAAGCAAGAAAAACAATACACTTTCAATAGAAAGCATAAACAAAACCAAACTCATATATATATATATATATATATTTTAATCGATTTCAGAGAGGAAGGGAAAGGGGGAGATAGAAACAGCAATGATGAGAATCATGGATCAGCTGCCTCCTGCACACCCCACACTGAGGACTGAGCCTGCAATCCAGGCATGTGCCCTGACCGGGAATCAAACTGTGACCTCCTCGTTCATAGGTCAACGCTCAACCACTGGGCCATGCCAGTTGAGCAAAACCAAACTCCTTTGATATAAGTGTTGGCACTATCTGACAAGAAATTTTTTAAAACTATGATTAATATGTTAAAAACTCTAATAAAAGAGGTGAGCAACATGCAGGGTCAAATGGGTAAATTCAGCAGAGATGGAATTTATAACACACAATCAAACAGAAATGCTAACTATGAAAAAATAGGTCTTCAACAGTTTCAACAGATTAGAACCAGCTGAGGAAAGAGTAAAAGAACTTGAAGAGAGCAATACAAATAAGCCAACTAAAACACAAAGACTAAAACATAAAAAGTTTAAATGAAATAAAGAACACAGTATCCAAGAGTAATGGGAAAATATCAAAGATCCAAAATACACATAATTGGAATCTCAGGAGAAAAACAACGGGTACTAAACAGGAAGAAATAGTAGAAAAATTATAGCCAACTATTTCCCAGAGGTAATGAGAAACAACCACACATCCAAGTTCACAGAACCAACAAGATATTTTTCTAAAGCCTAAAAATATCATATCCAAACTGATGAAATAAAAAGAGAAAATCTTTAAGTTAGAGAAAAAAGACACATTATATTACAACAAAGATAAAAATTACACCTGACATCTCATCAGAAAATAAGCCAGCCCAGAAGCACTAACATCCCAACAGAAATGAGCACATGAAACATCCAAATTTTGGGTTCTAACTACCATTCTTCAATAAAAGAAACTATGGTTCCTTAGAAAAACAGTTGATTCCAGGGCTGGGCAGAGAAAACACAAGATGAATCTAGAGTCTAATTTTCATATGATAAGTGCAAATTTTGTAGAAATATTATATTTCTAGGTCCTAGACTCTTCTGGAGTCAGAAAATACAGAAATATTTTTAAAAGAAAGAAAGAAAAAATACAGGAGACAATCCAAAAGAGCTTCCAATTGCCAAAGCTGGAAAAATACGAACAATAAAATGAATAACAATACTATTGGATTAAAACCAAAGGAATTAGTATCCTTGAGTCCAAACTAATTTAAACAAATAATTTCTTGGTTTTGAGGACTAGTCCCTGGTTATTTAAGGTCTTAACATTACAGAAAGCTGGGTAAAGAAAACATAGGAATGCTACTATTTCTGTAACTCTTCTGTAAATCTAAAATTATTTCAAAACAAAATGTGCCTATAAGACTAAATTATAGAACAAGAATCTTATACTTTAAAAACATATAGGTAGAAAAAAAGAACAAAAAAACAAATATATATGTGTGTATGTGTATATTATATACGTATATATATATATACACATGTATATATATATGTATGTGTGTGTGTATACACACACACATGTACATGGGCTTCTGGCTGAGCAGCGCTCCCCCTGTGGGAACACAATGATCACCAGGGGGCAGCTCCTGCATTGAGCACCTGCCCCCTAGTGATCAGTGTGCATCATAGCAACCAGCCGTTCTACCATTTGGTCGATTTGCATATTAGCCTTTTATTATATAAGATCATTATTTCAACTGTGTTAAAGAAAAATGAAAGGAAACACTCAAAAAATTCAGAAAGCAAATACTTCAAAGCACTAAAAATTATTTGTCTGGAAGCTAGAATTATAGATAGTTGTCAGTGAAGGAAAAAAACTGGATTAGCAGAAAACACACACAAAAAGGATTTGCATAATTTAGGAATTTTTCTTTCACTTAAATATTCCCAACTTACTTATAAAATTCAATTCTACATATCATGGTCTATAGCCAGCTTAAGGATAACACTCATGGCTTATATTTCCAACAAGATAACTAGAAAAGCCTCCCACAAGAAACACATAAACTGATACCTTAGCATAACAGTGGTCTTAGATAGAAAATAGATGAAGACAAAAATGTAGAAAAGCAAGTAAACAGAAGGCACAAATCAGAGATTAAGAATAAATGTTTATTAATAATTTATCAATATTTATCAATATCAACAATCACTATAAAGCAATTGAGTGGGTTTAGAAACTGTGGTACATCTACACAATGGAATACTATGCTGCAGTAAAAAAGGAATTCTTACCATTT